TTTATCATATTACAAACACATCTATATCATTTATTTGAGAGAACACAGTGATACCTGTCGGTGTCTCTGGAGTCCCCGGGGCTGGAGAGGTCGCCGGCGATGGCCTCCTGTAGCGCGGTGGCGCGGCGAGCGGCGAGGCGTGCCTCGTCTCTGGCGGCGGCTGCCTCGGTGGCCGCCGCTGTGGCAGCCGCCTCAGCTGCTGCCTTGGCTCGTGCTGCCTCGCTCAGCTTAGCGTTTAGGTTTGAGTTCTCTTCTTTGAGTTCACTAAATGTTGAAAGGTTGAAAGAGATTAGAATAGAAACAGTACTAGTAGGTACTACACATAAATTTTCTCAATAAGGAATTTGAAAGAGATCGATTTTTATGTACTTACCGCAGTTGTCTAGTAAATTTGCGAACTTCATCGGCGGTGTGTTGTTCCCGGGCGCGGGCGGAGGACAGTTCAGAGGCGAGTTGTTCGTGTGCCTCTCGCAGGCGCGACAGCTGCCCTTCTAAGCGGGCACGAGCGGTCGCTTCTAGCTCTAGACTTGATTCTAATTCCTTTGAAAAATATTTAAATAAGATTTAAATTTTTTGACCATGAATATTTGCTGTTTTAATTACAGTACACAGTGCACGTTAACTCTCCTACCTATTTTGGATTGAGAAACACAGTCGCACTATTTTAATTAATTTAAAAATAATTGAATGAAAATAAAATATAACATGGTAATAAAAGAAAAATAAAAAAAACATAAAAGAATGGTGGCCTATTGTTAAAATTTTGTAAAGTTTTGACTGCACGGATGGCGTAGTGGTTTAAGCGGTCGCCACGCCGCTTCCTACTGCGCCGAGTGTTGTGGGTTCAAACCCCACATGGGACGGCACTTTGTGTGATCCACAAATTGTTGTTCTAAGTCTGGGTGTTCTTTGTGTCCGTTTAATGTATGTTTGTAAAGTCCCCCGCGACACAGGAATGTATTCCTAATGCGGGAGTTGTCTTTTAAAAAAACAAAACAAAGAAAGTAAGAAGAATAAATTTCTAGAGTTACCGAACTCTCATCCTACAGCCTAAGCTTAATCAGTCCAATTTATAAGTAATATAATTTTTATGTAGGAATAAATAAATGTTTACCTTATTCCTGAGCTCGAGGCGTCTCTCCGCCTCGGCGTGTCCGTGCGAGTGGCCGGCCTCAGCGCTGGCGAGCTTAGCGCTGAGTTCCGCGAGCTTGTCTCGGGCAACCCTCGCCTCGTCGGCGGCCGCGTCGGCTCGCGCGCACGCCTCGCGCGCCTCGCTCTGCGCCGCGCACAACGCCGACGTACTCGACCGATACTTCTTTAGTAACTATACAAAATAATGAAGTTTGATAAATTTTATTTATTTTACATATATCTCGAAATAGCAAAGATTATGGTAATTTTGTGAATGTATGTTTTGTTTAATTATATTTATTAATTTATTTTTTTAAAGTTTGAAGCTGTGTCCTTTTGATTAATAAGAGAAAGTGAAAGGATGTACGCATGCAATATTCCGTAAATCAGAGATGAATTGAAATACAGTTTGAGCAGTCGCTTATCAATCTAGGTGACGAGGCGCTGTTACCTCGGCGGCCTCCTCTTCGGCGTCGTCGAGCTGCGCACGCGCAGCGGCGGCGTCCCTGGCGCACGAGAGCGCGCGCTCGGCCGCCTCGGCGCGCGCGCGCGACGCCTCCTCCAGCGCCGCGTTGGCCTCGCCCGCCTCCGCCTCCGCCGTCTGTCGCGCTTTCGTGGCCGCGCGCACCGCCAGCTCGAGGTCCTCCACCTATCGCCACGTACATATTTATCATTAAACAGACTTTCCGACACCCAATACTTACACTATCTTTTGACTTTATTACACCAGATCACTACTCTACTATGAGGACTACAGAAAAGTTACCCTTCTTACACCACCGAGAACGACTATAGAAAATTTTGATCGATTAAGGCGTGAATAGACGAACAAACGACCGATTTCACATTATATTACTATTATATGCCTGTTATTATTATTGTACCATAACAACAATCGTAAACAAACTAGGTGTGTCAACTATACCTTAACAGTATACTGTACTTTAATACACAAAAGTCTACACGAGACGTCCAAACTGACTGCTTGTTTTGTACCTGACAACGCACAAGAACAAAGTTCTATCAAACAAAACTTTTTTGTACCAGATATAATAGCCTTTACTTTTGATATGATAGAAAAGCCTGGGTCCACAGTGACATAGGGAACTTTACATAGCAAAAAAGTATTTTAGTTTGTACTATGTTATTCAACGTAACATACCTGGTTCTTCAACTGTCTGATCTGCGCTTTGGCACCGCCTTCCTTCTCCTTCTGCTCTAACATCGTTTGAGCATCCCGCAACAGAGCGCGGTATCTCTTCAGGTCTCTGAAAGTAATACACAAATAAACATTAAACACTTTACACTTACACTACAAACAATTAACATTACACATGTACATGTAATTTCTAAAATAATACGTAGAGACTGTTAAGACGACAGTGCTAATCAATATTTTGTTCTTTGTTTCTTTATTATTCAACAGATGGCGCTGTCGTCGAAGTAGATGACGATATCTTTTATTACCGATACCCATATATACCGGAACTGTTGGTTTTTTAATAGTCGGATCTTAGGCCACCTAAGTGTTTTATTTGGAAATGGCTCCTGTCACACTATTGGAAATCCCTAAGCAGTGTTTTTTTTTAGACAAAGACTATGTAATACAAATGGAGAAGGAGGTTACCTCTTAAGCCTCTGGACCAGCTGCGCTTGCTCGTGGTTCTCAGCGCGTGCGGTTTCCTCCAGGGAGGCGAGGCGCCGCTCCAGCTCGTGCCGCTCTCGGAGGAGGAGGCTGCGTTCTGCGTGCTCACTTTCTAATTGGCTTTCTAGAACTGAACAAGTATATGTGAAATAAAAGTGTATGTCTGTATAATTGTAGAAGTATAGCGCATTTAAAAATGCTATAATTCTTTAACAATGAATATATATATATATATATTTCCTTTTTTTTGACACCAATCCCTCCCATACTCCCGATATAGTAACTCCTGTATACACAAGCGACACACCGGGTAATGACAGTCGGGAAGTCTCATGAAAAAATAAAACTGTCTTAGAACCCGCGACGAAATTAATCGGAAGAAATTGGAGGAGATAATAAATCCACTATATATAAGACTATTTCTTATCTTATACAACTGGGCATTACTTAAGTAGTTCCCAAGCTATAGACATATTAAATTCTGCAATAAATTCCCATTCACTATTCCTATATCCAGCAATAGACTGCTATAGGCTGATGATGACACTATTCGACTTCAAAAGTGACTAAATACAATATGTTTATATGATCAAGAGAAAGTAAACTTAGCCTAGACTTACTAGGAATTGTTTCATATGTTTACTTAGATATAATTGGGTATTTACATGTTTTTGTAGGAATCGTACTTACTCTTGAGTTTTTTGGTAGCGTTGGCCCTGGTCTCCTCCATCTCGTCATCCCTAGCGGCCGCCTCAAGGCGTGCCTCCTTGCGTTGTTGCTCCAACAACATCTCCAGTCGAAGTTTCGAGCTTTCCAACAACTGAAACGTATTTTTTAACTTGCTTAAAAATGGTTTTCTGATTCAGTAGACTGTTTTGAAATAGGTACTACACAAATTTACGTAGTAGAATTAAACGTAGAAAATACTACGGCAAAAAAAGAAAAACGCAAAAAAAGAAGCTCACTCGTTTTTGGCTTCGTGTTTGGCTCGAAAGACCAGTTCAGTATTTTGTCTCAAATTATTTTAGATACTTCAAAATGTACTGAATGAACATTTGCCAAGTGTCACTGACTGGTAAACATCACCGAGTAGCAGCAAGTTTTCAGTTACTAGTAGGTATACACTCTCACAAATCAGTTGCGTGAGTTCTGCATTGGTAATAAGAGGTAGGTTTGAAAGTATACAAATGAGCTTTTGTTAGGTTACATTGAATAAATTAATGATGTACTTCTTTTTTTTAGTACAATTGACTGTTTATTTGATCGATAGCGGATGGTCCACACAGTTAAATCATGCTTGTTTCGAACAAAATATCACCTGTATCTGTCCAGCGAGTTCATCAAGCTCCTCCTCTTGATCCCGCACTCGTCGCTCTAGCTCCGTCTTGTTCCGCCTCAACGCTGTGAGTTCATCTCCCCCGCCACCACGCTCTTCAAGTTCGCGGGTCGCCGCGGCCAAACGCTCTTCTTTCAGCTCCAGTTCCAGACGAGCTTCCTGCAAGTATAAAAAGACAAAGTTACCAGAAGTTGTGTGGTGAATCGCTACTATTATATATTGTCACTATGCTATTCAAAAGACCTGGGGTCTTTGTAAAAGCAAGATGGGTTAGGATAAGGGAAATAGTAGTCACAGATCACAACCCATCACGGCACCAGTAGTTTTATCTGGTTTTTGTGAATCCATCAATCGCTTTTACTTTTATTGACCTCAGGAGTATCCATTGCCGCACAAAAAAATGTGGCCAGAGTAACCTATGTCCAAATAGAAACGCAACTGGTTGAAACCGTAGGTTACAGACAGCTTAACAGTTGTGTAGCTACTCTACTAGTATCCATGTGATGATAAGAGAACAGGAGCTAGGTGCAGTCCTGCCCGAAGTCTCAAATCACTAAATTGTCGTGGTTGCAATTTTACTACGATAGAGTTACGTTCTCAGTCAGGCGTCAAGTGAGAGGCGAAAATACCATTCTTTTTAAAAATGTTGAAATATAGAGTTAACAATAGCAATAACTAGCAATTTCCCGTGGCTTCCGTTCATCTCTTATTTTATTCCCATAGGGGTGAAACTTCCAAAATCCTTTTCTTAGTAGGTGCTTATAACATAAAAAGTATCAGCTGCCAAAAGTTCAAGTTCAAAGATAATTGGCATGTACATGTAATTAATGATTAACGAATATAGAACAAAAGCTCTAATGATATTAGATATTTGTTCGTCATACTCACAGAGAGACTCTGTTCGATGGCGTACTTTTCAGCGTGTGCCTGATCTCGTTCCCGTGACAGTCGTTCCTTGGCGCTTCTTTCCCGTTTGAGCTCTTCCTGTGCTGCTTGGAGTTCACTGTCGAACTTACGTTGCCGCTTTTCAAGCAGGTTGTTGCGACACGTCTGCAAAAAATAATGATTGCTTTTAATTGATTTTATTTAAAAAATGCATCAGATGTAGAAAAAATATTATTCTATACGACAAATAACTACAAACACCAAAGTTGCGCAGTATATATGTTGACCTGCCACATACGGACAGTCTAAACAATAATGATTAAAGTTACCTTGGTCAATAAAACAAAACAAAACACTCATAACTACCTGTTCGTCAAGCAGTGATCGCAAGTCTGCCATATCGTTGGTGAGCTTTTGCAGCTTTCGTTTCCATTGGGCAGCCACTGCTCTCTGTTCCTCCACTTCCTCGTATGCATCTTGCACCTGATATAACAAAAACAAGATATCAAATAATTACTCTTATAATCAAAGCAAATAATGTTTAATTTTAAAATTTTGAATATTTGAGTAAAACTCTGTAGTCCAGTTCTTTTTTCATGATTTAAAAACACCAAGTCTATTTAATTTCAAGGATGTTATAAAATTACAAATCCCTTTAACTAAAATATTAAATCAAAACGCAATATCCTATGAAGCATAATTCAAAATGCATTGGTTTGGACGTGTGCCAACCTCACTCGGTGCCGATAAACAGTTTGAATTATTACAACAAACATATATCGATATTTCTCAGACAAACCTCATTCTCCTCGTCCATTTTTCAACGCTGATGAAATTATTGTTTAAATGTACACTATAATTTACTCAGGAACAACGATTGAGACGTAAAAACTTAATACTTCATTCAGTTTTCCAATGTAATAAGTTATAGCACTTTGAGATGGGAATGATAACGTTTTAAAACTGTCATTGGAAAGTCTCGTTTTTCAATCAATGTGAGTTGTGTAGTCTTAAGTGAGATTTAGTTTAGTTTCTTCTTTGATTCAAAACAATTATTTTCTTTTACTTTAAACATTTTCAACAACTTAAGTTCTAAATTTATTTGTATATTTTGCCACATCTACATGTGGCTTCCTACTACAATAAACGCTTAATAGTAATCACAACACCATTAATCTCTGTAACATTTAACGGACTGTTCACATCAACGATTGAATTATCACTAAATAAAAACAGTTGTTCACTGTGACATTTGTTATCACCGGTGTTGTAACATTTTTGTAAATCACTTTCTATATTTAAAAACACAACTTATTTTGTTTTATTTTAAACTACCAAAGTTTTAAGTAATAATATAAGAACTAAATATCAGACTTCTTTAAAGCCACTTAAAAAACAACGATATCAAAATAGGTACTTAAAACTCGTTATTTCGCGTCCCGATAAGAAACGAAATGACGATAACACAGATGGTATCGAGATCTGAGATATCAGCAGAGAAATAGTGCCAAGTGTGACCGGAGATACGTTGAGATAAAGTGACAAACCTATTTCTGAGGCCTCTTTACTGTTGACTTTGACGTAACTATCGGATTGATAATTGTGCCATCAGTACGAGAATGTTGCCATTGGTTGACGGCTAAATACTTTGAAATTTTAAGAATTGAGTACTTTATAAACTCTAATGACTTGCACCATATGATGAGAGAAAAGCATCTAAGATGAATCCAAACGTTTTAAGATATTTTTTTTGTTTTACATGTGATTATTTTCGCTGTGAATATTTTAACCAACTGAATTTATTAACTGCACAAAATTAATGTGTTCTGTCCTCATTATAAAGTACTGATAACAAAAAGAACTGCACAAATCAGTTAAGCCAATTATCGATGTGATTGATTACAATTAATTGGTTTTGTACTTTTCTGAGTAGCTCCTGAAACATGTCAATTGCATAATTATAGGAAGGACGGTATCAGTTAAGTATGTTAGTTCACGTTTCACATAGTTTTGGAAGTAGTTGAAAAAGTTGACTGGCAGAGAATGCCTGAGGCATTACATCCGCCGATGCACAAAATTGTACATGAAGAAGTAAATAAGTAAATAAAAGGACGGTGAATAAGGAGAGGCCTATGTCCAGCAGTGGACTAGTAAAAGCTGTTGATGACGATGATGATGAAGACTTATAATTGTAATATCTTTGAGTGATTTTCTAATAAAAAGATTAAAAAATACAAATAAAAATTGACATAATATCTCGCACATTCCAAACCATAATATAAATAATAATAATAATAAATATACTTTTATATTTTTAAATACATGAATAAATAATATTATAGATAAATTACACTCAGATTCAGAACAAATTGACGCATGGCGAAGTGGTTTAAGCGGTCATCTCGCCGCTTCCTACTGCGCTAAGTGTTGTGGATTCAATCTCCACATGGGACAACACTTGTGTGATCCACAAATCCTGAGTCAAATTAAGAGTCTGGGTGTCCTTTGTGTTGGTTTCATGAATGTATGTAAAGTCTTCTTTAGGAGGAGACTACGTATATTCCTAGTGCGGGAGTTGTATTTTTAATTTAAATGATCATGCTTATCACACAAGTATTTGTCTTGGCTGTTAATCAAAAAAGAAACTGAAATCAATATAAAAGTCAAACCGTCAAAAAGCTGTATTCCTACTATGATGTAAGTATATACTTCAATAATGGATAATGTACGGAGCTCGAGATCGAAGGTCTCGACAGGGTCAAGACCATTACCAAAGCCTCTATTAGAGTTGTCTATATATATTTCTGTATTTAGAAAGCGCGGTTGTCCTTTTTGAATTCATTTACACTACGAGACTAAGTAGTTCACTAATGTTTACATTTTAAAATAATCATTTGTGAATATTTGGCAGCTCTATGGATAGTAACATCAGGTCTAGGTCATGGGTAGTTGAACTAAATATACCTGTGAGATTATTCTATAATTTATTTCACTGCTGAACGTGTATTTTTTCCTGAGGCTGATGTTAATTATGTTCTTTACGATTATGATTTGAATTGTACAATATTGTCTTTTAACGGCCCCTAATACACACTACAGTATTTTATTCTGAATATTTCGCTTTATTACTAAAACAGTTTAAATATAAGAAGCTAATTCAAGAAACGATAGAAATTTGCACTCAGATTATGGTGTGGTTAACCTTATGAGTCAAGTTAGTTTCGCTCTAATACCGATACTGACTTATTTTTATTAAGTGGCCCTTCTTTTATAAACTGTCCTATAACTCGCAAGGGTGTCCTGAAGGGAGAGGTTAGAACATAGACCTTTGAAAGTACTAAGTTTGAAAGTAGATTTTGGAATAATTCTATTTGCGAATACCTGTGAATAGCTTCGTTGTTACTTTATTATAATGTTTACCTTACTTATTTGTGCTGTTGGTATCCCGAACAAAACCAAATAAAAATAAAATAATAAAAATGATTATTCACACATATAACTACATAATAATAAACTTCCAAAAATCCGAGATAAACAAGGTATTCATGTCGAATAGATATTTTAAGTGACCTCAATATTAGGACTAGGTCGAAAGTACCAAGACCAAGAAAACAAAAATGTACAATAATGCATTATAAATTTTTAATAACAAAAAATATCATACACTTGCATTTGACATACAAGTATATTTAACAGCATTTATAATTTGCAATGAACGCGATTACCGACAGACTGAAAGGTCTTTAAAATGATTAGGTCTCTACATTAACGGGCACGCCGTCATTGCGGCGGTAAGACCCGTTATGGAGGATTGGCTCGAGAGGCGTCACGGGACCCTCTCATACCGATTGACGCAGGTGATCACTGGGAAGGTATGTTTCGGAGATCACCTGTGTCTGATCCGCAAGGAGCCAACGCCTGAGTGCCACCACTGCGATGGCCAGACCGTGGACACGGCTCTCCACACGCTGGCAGAGTGCCCGGCGTGGGTTGAGCAGAGGCGAGACCTCGTGGCGGCCATCGGAGTGGGAGTTCTCTCGCTCGATAGCCTGATTGCGGCTATCGTGCGGAGCGAGAGTGCGTGGAACTCTGCCGTCTCCTTCTGCGAGCAAGTTATGCTCGCGAAGGAGACGGCGGAGCGGGACCGGGAGAGGTTTAGAACTCTCCCGGCCCGCCAGGCCCGGGCACGGGCCAGGCAGCGCAGGTCACTCAGGCGCCGGAGGTCGCAGAACGACCTCCGTCCTCCATAAGCGCAGGCCTGGGGGTGACAGGTGAGGCCATCTGTCACCCTAGCAGAAGCAGGCCGGGGTGGCGGCGAGCGCGTTGCGAAGCGCGCTCGCTTTCAGGGAGCACAGGGAACATGGGGTTCCCACACGGGGCGGGGGTCGTCTACTCGTCTGTAGATGACCCGAGGTATGTCGGGGCACCAGGGCCTTCCTTTCTAGGGTATACCTGGTTCCCCGGCTATTAGTACCCGGCGAAGGCGTGCGGTTTTAGTCGGTTCGAGTCCGACATGCCACCGACAGGTGGTATCCGAGGGGATTTCCGCACGGAAAAAAAAAAAAAAAAAAAAAAAAAAAAAAAAAAAAGGTCTCTACATTAAGTGTAAGATGTACATACCTATACAAGAGGGATTTAAAACTTTATGTAGCTGGTATGGATTTGAAGAAAAAGATTGAGGACGAGTTGTCAAGGCATTTACCGGAGCCGATTGATAATGTTCCCTTACTGGGGCCGTTTTAAAGTAACAGGATATCAAAAAATTCAACTACATCTGTTTGTACACTTGTACTTACTGTGTACTTGTACACTACATTACGCACAAGTGACAAAATTGGACCGTCTTGTTAATTATTGAGGCTCAAGTAATATATAATTCGTCATACTCAGGAATTCATGGAATTAGAACACAACGTTTATTTTCAGTGGAAAATAATGTATTTATATAATAAATTCAATGACACATACTTGGGTAAAAATAAAATTTGTGGGCGGTGTTGACATGTATATAATACAAAAAGCCCGTATAGCATCTGTATTGGCGATAAACTCATTATTTGTATCACACTTGTGTCTTTGAGTAAAATTATGATAGATAAATGGACTCATTGATTAATTTTTTATCGTATGTGACCCCCACGTGGCTCCATATAATCGAGGTAACGATGAAGAGTTCATGTCCAGATAATTATGCCCTGACACGTTATGAATTAGCATTCACCACATTTGCAAATTTTACCCATCGCGTAGAGATATTCATAGGTCATAAACGTCATTGTGTAGGTTTTAGACATAGAAGCATTATTTCGAGACAGTCTTACAGGATGTGGGAAATGCGAAACGGTTGTATAACTGTTGTTTATCTAAATGGGTTTATGGTGTACGTACAATACTGTATTTAGATCGTCTAGCCGCCAGGCCTATTATAATTTATGCTAGAAACGTATACTTGGGTTAGCTTGGTAAGAAATTCTGAGAAGCTAGAAGAATTTATTCAATTTTCTTTCTTTTCTCTAGAGAAATTAATAAGGGATTACACTTAAGAAATTGTTAGAAGCAGCACGTGGTTTTATAACATTGGACAAAAAATATACTTGTAATTGTATCATCATCATCACATCATCATCACACATCATCAACAGCCTATAATAGTCCACTGCTGGACATAGGCCTCTCCTTAGAAAGGAGGTTTTGGCCTACTATACCACGCTGGCCAGACGGGTTGGTATAGAGTTTGTTTCAAGTTTTCCTTCTCTTTGCAGTGCTGTTGTCCTGCTTAGTTTGCTCCCTCAGTCGGCTCTTACGACACCCACGGGATGAATAGGGGTGGTGACATTCCGTATTCTTAATCCGTCACCACACCACACTTAATCCGTCATCATCATCAATAATCTTTAAAATTCCACTGCTGGACATAGGCCTTTCTTTAGAAAGGAGGTCTTAGCCTACTGTACCACGCTGTCCAGACGGTAGGTATAGGATTTGTGTTAGGTTTCCTTTCTCTTTGCAGTGATGTTGTCCTGCAAAGTTTGCCCCCTTAACACCCACGGGATGAATAAAAAAAAATCCCTCACCACACGGACATGGTTGTATACCAATACTTATGTATCTACCTGAAGTAGAAGTCGATATGTGATGGATGTATGTGTGGAGATAATCAAGGCGTTTTATTTACCTTAAGGTTTGATTTTGATTGTTTATACGAGGATGATAATCCTACGTGGGTAGTCAGACGGAGTACTTAATAGTTTTTTTTTTGCGAATGAAATATCATATGCAAAGTAGATATCGGGAAATACAGTTGAAGATATAGATTACGGCCTAAAAAGGTGCGGTCAACTTTGTTTTTTTAGTTAGCCATATATGCGTTGGCAGTTAGATTTAGTTTTTATATGGTACCTAAGTATTTATTAAGTTACTTTTTTTAATGTTTCACTTTGACTTATGTGATGTTGTTGCCAATACATTTAGCAGTTATGGATTGCTTAATTTAATGGATGTGTTGATAAATGGTATAAAAACAAGAAAATCCTTCATAAAAAAGTTGAATCGACTTCAAACAATACTAACAAATAGCACTAAAAACATCGCAAAGTTAAGCAATTCTGGCTCGGTCAATCTATGCGTAGAGCAGTGAGAGGCGCGGCAGCCTCCCGCCGCAGGGTGACTACAGTCACCGAGGGATGTGCCTCAGACATGGGCTACGTTAGGGAGGACTCCAGAAGCCGCCGATGCGTTCCTGTAGCTCCTCCTGACTGCCGAGGTAGGCCGCCGCGGGGTTTAGTGGGTATACCGGTTCTCCGGGAGTCCCACACAAGCCCTGCGTTTCCCCAACGGAGGGTACGGCGCGAAAAGCATTCAACGCGTTAAAAAAATTAAAAAGGTCAGTCTATGCATGGGTGATCATTCTTAACACATTAAGACTCCTCCATGCCTCGGAGAGCACGTTACGATGTCGGTCCCGGTTGCAATACGAACATCTGTGCCAATCACATTGTGGTAGTTGGAGCCCTAAAAAGTCCGACTTTCTACAGAACTTCAACATCACATAGTACTTGGGCTGTTCAGGTCTGATGGCAGTCGCTCCGAGTTAAAAATCGAAGTTCAGTCGCATCGTAGTACACTTACAGCTAAACCCAACCTAGTTTACGCAAAAGGTTCAAAGGAAGAAGAAGTAATGTGAAAACAAATGAAATGAAATTTTAAGTTAAAGGCGCACAATGGAGAGTAAAATAAAATATAAATTAATGTGCGCCTGTTTTATTCTGTTTTTCACTTACTAACTGCACTTATATTATCAAATAACAATTGCAATTTAAACATGTAAACTACACGTAATCCTTACTTGCGAACAAACTGATATGTACAATTGATCAAACGTGAGATAATAAATTTACATTGTTGCTGTCGATATTCGCATTCAAGTATGTTGATAAACATTAATATATACTGGAAATCTTCTATTCTAACTAAACATTGGTGAATAAGTATATTATAAATAACCCGTCTGGCCAGCGTGGTATAGTAGGCCAAAACCTCCTTTCTAAGGAGAGGCCTATACGTCTAGTGGTGGACTAGTAAAGGCTGCTGTTGATGATGATGATGATATATTTAAGCATAATAAGAATATAATGGGTTATGCTCGGCGGAATTACAAGAAATCCATATTTACTTATCCTATAACTGTGAAAGTGAGTTTGTTTGTTTGTACGCTTTCACGCCTAAACCACTAAGCCGATTTTAAACATTCCTTTACCAATGGCAAGCTACATTATCATCGAGTCACATAGGGACATACAGGCAGGCGAACCCGCAGGCAAAACTAGTATTAGATAAATCTGTCATAGTGTTTTTGAAAAGTACAAAAGTTAGGTAGGTAAACTTTCACAACCATACACTTCTGAATCAAAATAGTGTCAAAAGTAGGCAGCCCATTCTCCCCCTCTATGATTAACCGTCGAGGATTAATTTTCTCTTCCACTCACCTTTTTCTCCAATTGCTTTTTCACAGTAACTAATTGTTCTAGATCATCCTCATGTTGCCTGCGGAGTTGAGCTCGGAGTAGCTGCAGCTCCCGGTGAGCTCTTTCGAATCGTCGTTTGTATTTATCTCCTGATGCTGCAGCATCTGCTTCCGAGCCTTCAGAGTCTGATGGTTCGGCTCCACCGGAGTCGGCTGAACGCCAGTGGAGGAGCTCTAGTTCGAGGCGTTCGGATGCCTGTCGAAAAATGGGGAAATATTACACACCGTAAAACTGTGATACAGATTTTAATTTCGAATTAAAGGAAATTTAATTGCAATTATTTATACACATGCTCAGTAGCTTATCAACTTTGTAAATAAATTATTTTTGTATTCCGAAAAATTCCTTACAGTTATTTTGCAGTTTTACATAACATTCCTGTATTTCCACAACGTTTGCCAGAAAAATATTCCAAGATGTTGACAATTTATTACGAAAAGCATAAACAAACTAGGTGAAAAACAGCCCGGCCTCTTCGAAAACAGTAACAAATCACGCTTTTTAAAAGCATGTGGAGTCACTAGTTTTAAATTGGGAAGTGCTGGACCTACTTGTTGCAATCTCTGGTTGTTAGCGAGCAAGTCTCTGTTATCCCTCTCCACTCGCAGTCGTTCTGCAGCTTCTGCATCTGCTCTTTCAGTTGCAAGTCCAGCCGCCGCCCGCTCTTCAGTTAGCTCACCGCCTACTTCTGATAGCTGAGGACAAAAATTTACCATATTTTAGAAAATTAACACACACGCATAGATTACAAAGCCCATGCATACAGAAACTGACTACTACTAAAAAGTATTACCAATAACTTAAAGATGTAACTACTTGTGTAATCCTAATTTAACTGCACCTAGCCGCTTCCTACTGCGCTGAGTAGTATGGGTTCGATCCCCACATGGGACAAACTACACTATAACACTGTCCCTCACTGAACCACCCTATGGTTGATTGGTAGATAATACCATTTCGCATTCAGTCTGTGATGTTCAACGTAAAGGCATGCAGATTCTTTGTACATTGTTATTTGTTAACTTATTTAATAAGTATTAAATGTGTAAATCGTGTACTGAATCGCGATAATATTTATTTTACGAAGTACCATACATCTTTTTTTATCTGATGTTGCTTCGTGGTCATGAATTTCTAATTTGATGACATGGTTGTATGCAACCTTGTGATAACAGTTATTTTCTCAAAAATACAAAATGTATTAGAATTTGTAGTATTCCAATTTACATTCGTTTGATACCCGACTAGGTGCCGGGTGTCAAAAATTCAATATTTATTACAGTGCCATGTGCCCTTTTTTTTCCGTGCGGAAATCCCCTCGGATACCACCTATCGGACTCGGACTCGAATCGACTAAAACCGCACGCTGTCTCTGGTACTAATAGCCGGGGAACCAGGTATACCATAGAAAGGAAGTCCCTGGTACCCCGACATACCTGTAACTGGTCTTTTTTCTCTCGTCTAGGTCTATAGTAAAAATATACCAATGAAATTGATAAAAGGTTTCGTATTAACTTATATTCATGAGATGTTTACATTCAAATACACTTAAACTACCGTAACTTTATGCCACTATACTTAACACGGCATTGATGGTCAAATATTTCACTCGCGATAATAATATAATGATATAAGTATACATATTAATAAATATTAATACTCGTATGTAATACTAGTTGCCGTTTCGGAGGAGTTCGACTACAAAAATTATACACGAGATATTTATATATTAGTTTTTCCAGTTCATACATAAATATCTAGACCTATGAAAGCCGTTAGTGCATGTTCAAATTCCGAATAATAAGCAGTTAACCATTAACCTAACCGCCGGCCACACGTCTTTACTTTCAGTGAAAGCCTAAGAGGTGTTAAATCATTGCATGGCGAGAAATCGATTAGCCTTTACTCTAACTGCAATGTCCCTAGTCCGATGTTAAAGATAATTCTTCATTACCGCAATGTCAAATGGTGTTATTTTCGCAACATAACAATATAGCAACGCTTCGATGGTTAATCGTTATAAATTACCGAGAGGCAAACATGTAAACATCGATCTTGTACATGACTAATTCATCTTTAACTCTAAAGTAATTGACGCATTATATATCATTCAAGGTCTGACTGAACCATTAACTACGCGCAATATGTCATAAATAAACAGGTTAAATCTGGAGCTACTGACGTACTGAGTAGGTGGCCAGTCTAAGGAGTAACCGACTCGCAAATGGGCGACATGATAAACTATTCGCCAAAACGCATGTACTCGTATACATCAGTAGAAATACACAAATATCGGGAAGAAACCCACACTTCCTGTTCACTTTGAGTGACATTCTGAAAATATTGTAATGACAGACGAGTGAGTTTCTCTTGCGTCGTAAGAGCCATCGTGAAAAGTCAACAATGAGAAAAAAATAAATGTTTTGGCAAGCGACGCGTATGAGGTAACAGTGAGCGAATGGCTACAGTGACAAGCGCCACTTGTAGCACAACTAACTATTCTAAACAACCGGCAATAAATTAAAGTCTTATCTTTATAAACACCGCCAACTCTTCAGAATATTTGCAAGCTATGATAATAAAAGTAATTCGAATGAGTCACCTCGTCCATTTCGGAAACAGTCGTTCTATCTTCCGATATACCGCGACTTGATCGGCATACACTGCTCGCTCTGCTCCCATTCCGGCTGAATAATGTGAAACCCTTAATCATAATATTCGTAGCAGACTTAGATCTGCCTAGTCTTCGATTATTTTCACTGAACATAGCAGAATCATCTTTGTGTCCTAATCTTCGCCACTCATCCATAACATGGTCAGTTCGTTTCAAAAAGCTATCAATCTTGCTGCTCAAGTAGTTGGAAGAAGTTCCATCTTCCATGTGAGCTGCAACTGGTTTGAATCGTTGCCGGAGCGGTTGTTTGCTACAGCCAAGGATAAATGACAAGTTAGCGTCGAAAACAACAGGAGCTTGCTCTTTTGACTTTAACTCTTTTAAATCTACGTTTTCAGAATTATCACAGGTTTGTGGGTACATCCTTCTTGGAGTGGGTGTCCTATTGTAGAGTGTCGAGTTCATGCTCGAAGAACGGGATAGTGGGACGTAAGTCCCGTTGCTGCTGCATGTCGAGTACTGGCTGGCAGAACTTCGAATACTGCTACATGAGAGTGGGCTTGGAGATCTTGATAATAATGTGCAACTAGGTACATGTCGACGGGCAAGCTCCGCTATGGAACCCGTCTCCACGGAAGCAGAAGAATTACTTCGTTTATAAGATGGGACAGGAGACCGACTTACTAAGTGTTTTCCATTTTCAACGCCGTTCTGCGGTATGGTGTGAACTTCTTTCAGTGGTTTCGCCATAAAAAGTTTTTTGCCATTTAGAAGAGTAGTCGGTGGCTTCGACGGAATTTTCTCATCAAAATCTATAGGCAGCGTTTTAGATTTCTTTACTGGTAAGATGGGCCTGCTCGGAGGAGCTTTAGGCGGTTTCTTTGGAGTTGTATCTAATATAGGCGGTGATAAAGGTCCATTCCCATTCGAAGGATGAGTTCCATTTATTGGAGGAGAATGTGCACCATTATTAGTCGGCTTATTTTCCTCTGGAATATGCAGCTTCAACGGGTTGGAGCCCATTCTTTTGACGGCGTCGATGATGTTGTTCGCGTGCGGCATAGTTTAGGCTGTTCGTTTACGTTTCCTGTAGCGAAAATGTCGCGAGTGGTGAAAGTCCAATGCCATTTCACGGTAGCAGTTGCATTATTATTGTCGCGAACATTGCGGGATGCGTCGGGACATTAGTTGGAAATAGAACCGGCACGGGAGGGCTCCGCGGACGCACTGCGCCGGCTATCTCGGTCGCCGGGCCGACGACGCGGCCGCTCGACTATTTTAGTTTACTTAGATGTCGAAGTGCACGCGCTGGCTGACACTCGCTGGACCTTCAACATTCAGTGGACGTCTGAGTTCAGTTGAGCCAATGAATAATGTTCGCACATCTAAAGATCCTTATTACGAACTTAGTCCAATAAATCTAGTATATTGAAGCTGGAATTCTTCTTAATATATGAGACAAATTAATTTGTTATTCTATCGTCAATCGATACATATGTCAATAGATCAAATACGTAGTCAGGATGTCTGCACATGAGCAACCGACTGGAAACCGTGAAGGCCGTTATGGTTTTCAATGCTTCATTTTATAAATATAACATTCAAAGGCAATCAGAAACGCAAAATCATATTTAATCATACTCAGTTAGAATTGTTAACCCTGAAGTAACAATATTTAGTTAGTTAAAGACCGATTGATAACCACTGAGTCAAAATATGTTATTATTATGGACGGATACTTCACGAAAGAACAATTTGATGTCGAAACGAAAGAAAGAAAGGAAAAAAACAAAACCAGACTAAAATAAAAGTTTATTATTATAATATATTACGAGTATGAATATGAATATGTTTCATCTATATGACGTTTTCTACAAGCAACTGAATGAATAAAATAGATCAGGTACTTGGTAGGTCTCATTTCATGGGGTGATATTAAAACTTTTTTAGATTTTGCATTCCATACACAGTTTCAATTTTATAAAAATATTTTTTTTGGTAATCAAAATAATATCTGCTTCACGGGTTTAAGACAGACACAGATTCAGTTTCCAAACGCATAGCCCGCTAGAGTATTTGTAACACAAATTGTTTAAAAAGTTATGTTCTTTCTACATTTAAACTTTAAACATTTCAAATTTTCGTTCTTACGTGTGTAGACTTTTCTTAAAAAATCGTACAAACAATTATCTTTACTAATAAATATACAGAATAGAAAATAACAACCGATACATGTTCCCGAGCAATTACTGTTTGACGTACATACTCGTAGTAACAGTAAACCGTTGGCAATGGCTAACTGAAAGTTGGCAAGGAAATTTGATCAAAAACGTAAATGTAAATAATATTGTGGCAGATATTCGTTTGGCAAAAACAACGAGGCAGTATTGGACCACATCTGGATAAAGCTACAGTCTGTTTATCTATGGAAATATTCTGTGCAAACAAAATAAACAAAATAAACAAAATGAGATAATTTTTGTTTTTTTAATAATTAGCTCGTTACTTTACTTCTTTTTCTCAGCTTTTTGTGAAAAATAGAGACAATATACCTACACTATAATATACCCAGAGACAAATAATAATTGAGACAAATACTAGGAATGCGAGATAGATGTTACTCATGGTCTTTTAAAACGAAAGGTGAACATGAAAATTCACATATCTATGTTATTTTATATTAAACTAAAATTTGAGTTAAAAAAAAAACAAGTTTAAAATATGACTCATTCAACTTATAAACACTTCTAGAAAGTTATCATTATCATAAGTTATTATTAGTAATATATATACTAAATAAACGAATGCTAAGTAAAAAGCAAATTTAATGCAAATAAGACTGGAATATATAAACTTGCGGCAACACACCATGATAATGATACAAGAACTAGCATCTACAGCCCACACTGAAATCTAAAATAGTCTAAATTTAGGTCTGGATATTAAAACTAAGACGTTTAATTTATATACTAACCAAGTAATTTCCAGATTACATGTGCATTTACAATACTAGTAAATTTTATTTTTATATCATAAAAAATTTCGATCGTCAACTAAAATTAATCTCTCTCATGAGGATAAATAGACAAAATAAACGGCCAAAATAAACTTATGTTCGAAAATATTTAAGGAATTTACTTTACAAATATTAAATTTTATAAAACAAGTGCTTCGGCATGGGCGATGGTTTTCACTTACCAACAGGTGATATGTCCGCTCATTTACCTCATATACAATAAAAAAACCTTAAAAAATACAAAGTCGTTCTGATTGTTATGAAAAGGCAACTCCCGCAATAGGGATATATCTTATGTCGGGGGGCCTTTACAAATACACAAGAAACAGACACAAAGAACAACCAGACTCAGAACAACAATTTGTGGATCACACAAAGTGTTGTCCCATGTGGGGATCGAACCCACAATACTCAGCGAAGTAGGAAGCAGCGAGGTGACCACTTAAACCATTATGACATCCGTGTTGTCAAGTCAGAATTAAAATGGTGTTCTAACAACAGTTATTTAGCAAACAAATTGAACCAGTAGTTACTGAGATTAGCGCTTTCCACCAAACAAACAAACTCTTCAGATTTAAAATATTAGTATAGATAAAACAACATTCAACATGAATCTGAGTAAAACACGAACAGAAGGCGAAATTTCGTCATAAAAGTTTGGTCACAATTCAGTTCCGATCAACTGTCGATTTCACAATTGTCATTTATTTATTTAATACTTAGGTTATTCACAGCTGACTATTATATAGTTAAATGTGGAAGGTATCTTAGTAAAATAGTAAAGGATTACCCATTCAATTTCGGTTACAATACGATATAATAACATTAGAGTCGACGTTGGATGTTTAATACTTTACTACGATAATACCTTTTACGACAGTTGTGCGATCGAGAGTTAATTGGTACAGAATTGTGACCGAACTTTTATTGCGGGAATTGGCCTTTTGAGCTTAATCTGTTAGTGATGGACAGTCGACAAAACCGCGTCGAAAGGGCTCTAACCTGTTCCAATTATAACGTTACCGGTCAGATGTTCCAATAAGAAATAAATAACCGACGGCGACGTCTGCCAATGCGTGCGTTTGATGCAACCCACAGTAACACTATGCCGATAGTTGCGCAACCGTTCAAATGGGATTTTGATCTGATTTACAAAATTATAAAAGAAACTCGCTGTTCGATTATTTAAAATAGATATTCGGAATTGATTGCCGTAAAACTTTGATGAAGTTTTGAAATGTTGTATCATGAGACTTAGTACATATAATATTGTATATAAATTGCTTCAGGAAAGGCGTGGAGATATTTTACAAGTTAATAAGAAAACTAAAAGACTCATATTGTGAACGTCACTGGTATAACATTCAAAAATACCAATTGCGCCTTCATTGAAAATTAGAAATCATACGAAATATTACCACATAACGAAAAGGAAAAGTGCCTTTGAAATACGAAATTCAATAGTAATGGCATACTAACAACAATTATATAATGAAAGTAATACAGCGACACCAACAATACAATGTCACACGCTCTCTCATCGAGGAAAAAAAATCAATAGCTTTATAATTGAGTGTTCGAAGTACAGCTCACCATTCATCATTCTGACAATCTTTGTAACGTAGGGAACAAAAACATTTTTAAATGTTACAAGTGAGTGTCATTATTTATCCGAAAACATGCGCGTGCGCATCCCGCAAGACAAACTGACCACTTTGTAACGAATTTACGAAATGGGACGGTTTTTTTTAATACAAAATTTATTGCTATGAAATAAACGTGGTGGTATAATGCACGCATAATAAAAATATGAGACTAATTTGTTGCACAATCTTTCAAAGAATTGTCGCTTATAAGTTATGCGTATTACTGGCTGAGCACACTAAAAATGTTTTGGTTTAGGTTTAGGATGGCAACAATAAGGACTTTTTCTTTCAAAAAATCGATCATTATCTAGAATTGTGCCAGACAACCTAAACATTAAAAAGAGGCTAAAAACGCGTGTCTTTTCAGATTCACTCTAGGAATTCCTGTCTTGTTAGATAACTAGCGCACTAGTAACTGGGTGACACATTTGTTGCACTCTTATAATCGACTATGTGACTTGTGCTGGGCAAAAGAAAAATTATTTCACCAAGGTTGCTAGACTTTCCTTTTAGAGATAAATTAAGGTATATCCATATCTTGATTTACAGCTCTCGGCAAATCATTCTTCATTATTCTTCGCTTAAACGCAAGTCAACAAATGGAAAACATTGTTTTGAAAAGCTTATTCCTGGAGAGCGTAACGTAAATCATCTGAACTAGGTCATTCACAGACGAGCGCTCTGACGAGCGGGGCTAACCGTGCGAGAATTCACGTCTTTTGAAAATTTAATTAAAGTCTACAATGTTATTAGCCTGTTGACGTGTTTGACACGGCCCGGTTATCGACATAAATATAATGAATACGCTTCAGTGATTCTAACCTAATTTTACATAGTTTTTGAACATATTGCTGGTTTTATTCAGAGAAAGTCGGTATTTTCTAAGATTACTATTGGCAACTCTTTTTAACGCTCAATACTTATCATCGAAAACAACATATAAATAGTTTTGGTTTCTATTTAAGTTCACTTTGGACTTATTATCAAACGCCATAAAATAACTTTAAATTAGAACATTTAGGGTACAGATGTGATATGCTGTCTTAGAAATGTTAGGTTGAAATAATTTCATCAAGATTTGTTGTACTTTACTACAGTCTATTATTCGTACAATATTGCCCAGGAACTGCGTATGCAGATGCAGCGTATGTTTATGGGTAGAAGTTTATGTTTAGATTTTAGCTGTTTATTCTGGCAAGCTGGATAAGTACTTTTTTATCCTTATTGAAAGTTCAAGTATTGAGATAATCTTGTGTCAGGGAAGAAAATATATTTACATTAAGCACATCTTGTGGATACATTACTAAGTTCCGTTATTTATAAACAATTAAGATCTTACTTTATGTTCATAACGTAGGACACGTATGCACGCATTTTTGGCAAAGTGTCTCCTGTGAGAT